AAAGCCTGGCGGTTTCTGATCGATACAGGACATTTGCTGTGCTTTCTGTGGTGAGTCGCTCTCCCATTTTCTTCTCCAAGCGTTGGTGACGTTGAAATGTTCTTGAAAGGAGTTGACTCTTAACAATGGAGGATATCTAGAGCGCAGCCTGTTTATTTCGATATCAAGCTTATCACGGTGGATGGGTAGTTGATGGTTAGCCTCGATTTTTCGATATTCTCTGAGAAGAGAATGACTTTTCGCAGTTTCGGCGGTGGAATGTGACTCAGAATGGGAAGCCAATAGTTCGGTGTAGGTCTAATTGTACCTGAGATCATTCGCATTGTCTGGTTTAAATGGATGTCAATAATCTTCGTGTGTTTGCTATTGAGCCATACCAGAGAAGCATATTCAGCCGCCGAGTATACAAGTCCGAGGGCGGATGATCTGAGTACATAGGTTGAGGACCCCGATGTGATACCAATAGCTTTTGGACTATATTATTTTGCGTTTTAAGTTTAGCTGCCGTTCTTTGTAGGTGTTCTTTAAAACTTAACGTTCTGTTCAGAGTCACTCTAAGATATTTTAAAGTTGAGTTATGAGTGAGCAGTCTGTTTTCAAAGTGAACGGAGAGTTTTTTGTTGGCTTGATCATTATTCAGATAGAAACAGCATGCTTCGGTTTTCGTTGCATTGGGCCGTAGCCTCCATTTGTATGATTTCATAACGGCAAGGTCATCCGTTAGTATTTTTTCTGTAATAACCATGTTATTATGTCTTGCTGCAATGGCCCAGTCGTCAGCGTAGCCAAATTTCTGCGAAGTTGTCCCAGGTAGGTCCGCGATGTATAAATTAAACAGTAAGGGTGCCAAAACAGATCACTGTGGCAGTCCATTGCTGAGCTTTATTTGGACACTTTTAAAGTTGCCCATTGTGATTTGAAAAGGTCTGTCGGTGAGTATGCTATCAATGAGTTTAGTTACCTTTTGACACGAGATGACACGGATTAGTTTGAAGATCAGTCCTTGTCTCCAGATAGTATTGTATGCAGCTAATAGGTCAATAAAAGCAACAGTTGTTTTTTGCTTTCTTTGAAAATCTGTTTTAATATGTGTTGTTAGGGATAGGATCTGATCTGTGCAGCTGCGGTTAGGTCTGAACCCTGATGGCTCAATAGATTTCAATTCAAATATGTTTCTACTAATTCTGTTGTAGTTAGTTTACAAGCGTTCCAACAGTTTATAAACACAGCTCAGCAGTGCAATTGGTCGGTAGTTTTGGGGCTGACCATTTGCCTTTCTTGGTTTTAATATGGCTATAATGGAGGCCTTATAGCCTGCCTAGCCTCCCTAAAAGAACCTAAGGAAAAGTTTTGTAAGTATAATAATAATATAATACTATCTTCTTACGGTGCCTTATCCTTAAGGACGTTGGCCATTACATTTGCCCATTTAATTTTATTTGTAGCAGCCCTGAATAGTTCTATGGAGGTCATGTTCGTCCATTGCCGTAGGTTTTTAAGCCAAGAGTTGCGTCTTCTTCCTGGTCCTCTTTTGCTATTGACTTTGCCTTCGATTATAAGTTGGAGCAGTTCATACTTTTGATTTCTTATGATGTGACCAAAATATTGTGTTTTCCGTTCTTTTATTATAAGCATAAGCTCTCTTTCCTTATTCATCCTCCGCAAGACTTCCGCATTTGTCGTATGGCTCATGTAGGATATTCTGAGCATTTTACGGTAACACCAGAGTTCGAATGCTTGGATTCTTTTTTGTGTTGCTTCTGTCATTGTCCAGGCTTCAACACCATAGAGCAAGGTGGAGAAAACATAGCACTTAAGTATTCTAGTTCTCAATGAGATGCCCAGCTGGCGGTTGCATAGAACTTTTTGCATTTTGTAAAACATTGTACGTGCCTTTTCCAGGCGTATTCTTATCTCTAGTGAGTGGTCCCAAGTTTCATCAAGATTACTTCCAAGGTACGTTGTTCTTGTTACTCTTTCCAGATCTGTTCCGTCGACATTGACCTTCACCCTTCTGTTTTGGTGCTTGCTGATGACCATCGTTTTTGTCTTCTTTGTATTCAATTTCATTCCAAATTCTCTACAGGCTGTCGTTACTCGGTCCATTAAGCGTTGCAGGGCTTCAGCATTATCTGCCAGTATGACAGTGTCATCAGCATATCGCAGGTTATTTATACATTGCCCGTTTATAATTATACCATCCGAGGTGCCTTCCAAAGCTTTCTGAAATATCTTCTCAGAGTAAACATTGAACAGCAAAGGTGATAGGACACATCCCTGTCTTACTCCCTTCTCGATATTGATTTTTCCAGATGTTTCGCTTTTATTTTTATTCTGATTTTAGCCTTTTGTTCTTGGTAGAGGTTTGAAATGATCCTTAAGTCTTTATCGTCGATATTACATGATCTTAAAATATCTATTAGTTTATCATGTTTCACCAGGTCAAACGCCTTCTGAAAGTCTATAAAACACAAGTATACATCAGAATCGACATCTCTACATCTTTCAACTAGCACACGTATTGAAAAAAGTGAGTTTGGCCGGTGTGTTCGTCTAGTTTATTGTATACTCTATTGTGTATTACTCGTAGCAAAACCTTCAACATATGATTCATTAGGCTAATAATCCTATGGTCTTCACATTTCTTGGAGTTTCTCTTCTTTGGTAGTGGTATAAACACCGATGTCAACCAATCATTTGGTATTATGCCTGTTTAGTATATTTTGTTAAATATATCTTCCATTACTTCGATGTGTTCGTCTAGTAATATCTTTATTATTTCAATTGGGATATTATATTCCCCAACAGCTTTTCCGTTCTTTATCTGATTTGCCGCTTTGATAATTTCTTGCTTTGTGATATAAGGTCCAGTCGATGCCTCCTGCATGTAAATGTTCATCCTCTCTCGGTATTGAAACATCTCTTCCACGTATTCTCTCCATCTACCTATTTGATCTTCTATGTTCAGTAGCGGGTTCCCATGTTTATCTTCGATGAAAGACGTAGGAGTTTGTTTAAATATTCCAGCGGCTTCTTTTACTTTTTTATGTAGATTGAAAGTATCATGTCTTTGTTCCAACTCTTCAATTTCTTGGCATCTTTCACTTAGCCAGGTTTCTTTGGCTTGTTTGATCTTTATTCTGATATTCTTGTGTATTTGCTTGTATGTTGTTTCATTTTTACCTCTGTATTTTCTTCTTTTGTCCATCATGTTTAGAATTTCTTCTGTCATCCATGGTTTATATAATACTATAACATAATGAAATAGAGTAGCAATCAGTATCTTAAAAAATACTAATGTACTAATAATAAATTAGTTTCAATATACAATCTCAAATTATTTTGTAATATGAGTTCTCTAACTTCTATCGGCGCCATTTAAATAAATTTAACGAATTCCAGCGAAATCGAGGACACTGCATATCTAAGTTTCGTGTAGAAATAAAAATGTGATTAAAATAAGAAGACGTCTTGGCTTGCCCAGTTTATTTTTATATTGGTCGTTGAAAATATTTATTCAGGTTGTATTATTTCAAATGAAATATCCGTTGGAAGAGCTTCTTTTTTGCGAAATGTAAATATATGAAATATTTTGAAAATACATAAATTATAAACGACAGGTTTTCTATATATATACTGTCATGCAAGTGTTTTGTTTGTTATTTCAAGAAGTCAAAATAATACTTAATTTTATAATATACTTCCGTTGTTTTTCACATAATAAAATACTGATTTTAGCAAAAGTTCCGCTTATACTTTTTTCTGTTTAAACAGTATGGTTTACCAACATTTACCAAGTATTTCCCTTTTGTAAAGAAACACTTTTTTCTCTTCTTCTTCTTCTTCATGTACCATGTCCTTTCAGAACGTTGGTTACCATCATAGCTATTTTAATTTTATTCACTGCCACCCTAAATAGCATGCTTGTATCTACACCATACCAATCTCGCAAGTTCTTCAACCATGAGGTTCTTCTTCGTCCTGGACTGCGTTTGCCTGCTATTTTTCCTTGCATGATATTTTGTAGCAATCTATATTTGGGACCTCTCATTACATGTCCGAAATATTCCAGCTTTCTCTGCTTGATGCTTTTTATGATCTCAGTAGTCTTGCTGAGACGTTCTAGTATTGTGGAGTTACGAATCTTCTCCACCCAGGAAACTTTTAAAATTCTTCTATAGCACCACATTTCGAAAGCCTCAAGGCGATTTAGATCGATTTTATTCACAGTCCAGGACTCGACAGCATAAAGTAAGACCGAGAACACGTAGCAGCGAAGTAGGCGGATCCTTAATGCCAATTTTAGGTCTATGTTACATAACACCTTGGACATCCTTCTAAAAGCAGCTCTAGCCTGCTCTATTCTGGATCTAATTTCGCCGTGATTTTCTGCGTTACAATTTAATTGCTGTCCAAGGTAGACGATTTTATCAACTTGCTCAAGTTTGGTATTATTTACATATATAGACGGTTTTATATTCTGTTGTTTACTTATTACGAGTATTTTGGTTTTCCTTATGTTAAGATCCAGACCTGCCTCCCTACAACTCTCAACGACACTATCAAGTAGTGTTTGCAGATCTTCTTGATTTAAGAAAATATAATATTGAATTTTTTTCACATTATATACCTCTTCTTTTTCTTGTAGGAAAAGTCCTAATCTTGAAACTTGGTAGGTAGTTTCCTTTTTTTTCTCGTGACGTACAAGAATTCTACCGGGTTATTCCATATTTCGTAGTATTTGTTTATTTGTTAACTTGTAACAGTATTTCGGGTTAAACCGCGTCGACTATCATTATGCCGAGCTTTCGATATCCTCTTTGATGTCTTCTTCAGAGCTTCCGAGGTCTCAGTCTCCCAAGCCCCAGACACTACTACACTGATCACTAACCAACGCATTACTCCTAATGGGAGCAGTAATGCATTAAACTTATCAAATTAACTATTGTGTGTAATAAGATTATCTATAAGTCAATTTAAACTAATGTTCTTTATTGCAGACTGAAAAATGGAGCAATTCGAGCAGCTATTGACGTGCGCTATTTGCTTAGACCGGTACAGAAATCCAAAGCTTTTACCATGCCAGCACAGCTTTTGTATGGAACCATGCTTAGAAGGCACTGTAGATTACGTTAGAAGACAGGTAAATATTTTTACTATTTATTATTAATTTTGTTTCTTTTATTTTTCTAGCTTTCAATTTCTATGATTTAAAATACCGTGGTTTATGGTTTGGAAATATAGTTTGAAAATATTTTTATTTCTGAAATCTGTCAAGAATAGTATATATTTTGTATCTAGTGGTAAAAGCAATACATTTCCGAACGACAATGCAGATTGTTGGCTGAGGTGCTAGCCGAGGCTAACAAGCATCGAAGTTTGGAAATATGGTTTTACTACGAAGTACAGTTACTATTTTTTCCTGAAATCGCATTCAATATTAGGTACTTTGACGTCAACGCGTCAGCCGTGTTCCAATATTCAAATTTCCCCAAACAGCCTTAGAATAATATTCTCGACCTAGGTTAAAAATCTTCCCGTACTGTTTTCTTTAAGTTGCTTAGCAATAGCAACTGTATTAAGGAATTGCATATTTTGAGATCAGAAATTGGTAGTTTTATCAAATCTTCCTTTGAGTTTCATTGGAATTTTTCTGTCACAAAATACACTGCTCGTTTCCTTCAGCTTTATACATCCTACTTTAACTCTACTGCATATATATCCTCATTAGTCCACATTAGGAATGAACATTCCAGATACTTTGATTTTGTTCTCCTAAGTTTTAAACCTTTTTCTTCAGTGCCTCGTCTCTATTGTTCCAGTTTTTACTCTAAATCCTTTTCAGTATTTATTACCAACACTACATCATAAGCATACATTCCCTTTGATATTTTGGTGACCATTGCTGTTACTGTCTCCGTTAGCTAAACGGGTTTTCTGTCAAATTCTTCCTTTAACAAACTCTTAAAGAACTTTTTCAACCTTTTATTACATTCGTCCTTGATACATCGAATCTGAATTAAAAGCTTTCCTTTTTTGCTCTATGGCTATTTTATATATAACTTTTTCTTCACCCTCCGTAGTACCAAGTTGATCTTATAGATTTTTATACGCTTCTGCTTTAGCTTTTGTTACTGCTACTTTTGATTTCTTTTTGCCTTCTTGGTGGTTTTGAAGATCTGTATCCGTCTAATTTTCCTGCCATTGTTTATATAATTTTCTCTTCTTTTTGTTTTTCTGAATTTCGTTTTTAACCCCCACCAGCTCTCTTTATTCTCAAATTTCATTACTGAGATTTTTTTAAGTATTTCAATAGCAATAACTTTATTTTATAATATATAAATAATATATATTATATTATTTATATATTTAGTTGCATATATAATTATATAATATATAAATAATATATATTTAATTGCATTTAAATTTTCTTTCATGTTATAGATAATTTTTTACAAGTTTTGCCTTGAATAGGCTTTCCTTCTTAATGTTTAACATCCGTCATTTGATTTTTTGTGGTTCTTTTCGAGATTTTGATTTTGTTACGCTTTTTTAGTTCAATGTTCAGCACAAGTAACTTATGTTGTTGATTCACAGTCTCGCTATTACGTACTATTACCTTACAGTGCTTACATTTGCTTATCTCTTCTTTTCTGGTCTTGAAATGGTTTTATTTGAGATACTTTCTCTAGAGAGAAAGTTGGCTCTCTTTCTTCTGAAAAATTGTGTTAACAATGACCATATTTAATGCTATTCCAAAACCTAGCGCTCCAAATTCTTCCTTGGATTGACTCACATATGCGCTAACAAACTACGTATACTATGTTATATAGACTATACACCCAATACGGTAAATTATTATTTATGTATATGATATATGTAAAGTGAGTAAAGACTTTCTCATTAGTATTACCTTTATATAAAATAGACCTGCGAAAAAATTGCGAATACGCAGACAATCATCTAGGAGAACCAAAGAGTTCAGAATTATATACTGTCTATACTTCTTCTTAGGGTGCCTGTCCATTCCGAACGTTGGCGATCATTCTGGCTATGATGACTTTGTTGGTTGCTATACAGAATAGCTGTGTTGAGGTCTTTCTATACCATGCTTTCAGGTTAGCAAGCCAGAATATTCTTCTTCGTCCTGGGGCCCTTTTTTCTTCAATTTTACCTTGCAAAATGCATTGGAGTAGCTCATATCTGCCTTGATTTCTCGTTATATGTCCTAAGCACTGCAACTTACGGCCCTTTACGATGTTAACCAAAGCTACGGTTATGTTCATCCTCCATAGTACTTCTTCATTGATGATTATATTATAAAAATTTATTAACAGATTTCTACAGAAATATTTAAGGAAATGCCAAAGCATAGGAATAACGATGGAAAAAAAAATCTTTTTACACTCTTCTTTGTTGATAACAAATAGTGATAGCGGAAGATGAAGATCTTGATGATATGATAAGGAAATTAAAAGAAGAATATAAAGTGTCGGGCTTATAGGGCTCCTCTCCATTCCTTGAGCGCTTGTCAGGTCGAGGTAAGACTCTAACTATGGTTAGCTTGTGTGCGGTTGCATTCACATACTGGCCATACTGGCTCTCCATAACTGTTAGAACAACTATAAACAAATAAAACCTGAAGGAACATTAGAACTAAAAATAGAACAGATGAGAGATGCAATTAAGGAGATGAAATTAAAATCATCACCAGGCCCAGGTGAAATACACCCAGAGCTAATAAAATATGATTCACCTTAACTGTTTGAAGTGTTTTGCAAAATAGAAACAGTGCTACATCTCTCTAATACATAAAAAAGGTACAAAAAATGATCCGGCAAATAGGCAGATTATACTCCAAAATATTACGAAATCTAGTAGAAGTAGACATTAAAGACAAACAACCTAAAGATCAAGCAGGGTACAAAGCTAGACGATCCACCATAGCTTATTTATTTACATTGAAAATCGCCGTAGAAAAAGGAGTACTGAATAATAGAGTACAGTAGAGACGAATTTAAAAGTAAATAGGCTTGGAAAAGCCGATGATAGTGCGCCGATTTCACAGTTGTGGAAGAAAATTACGAATTTGAAAGTAAATTCAGTTTTTATTAAGGCTCCTCAAAAATATTACTTTTTTTGAGAGTTCTGCAAGAATTAAAATAAATAATTATATAAATATATTTATTTATAACTTTACAGTTCGATACTATCTTATCAACTAAACTTACTCCTAAGATCGTTACATATATATATATATATATATATATATATATATATATATATATATATATATATATATATACCTAAGTTACTACGTTCTAGAAAGTTCCCACCTCTAATTCGCGCACGTCGCCGTTCTTTCTCGAAACATCGAGTCGCTTTCGAGATGCAGCCGCTATACGGAGACACGCTACGTGCTCGTAACACTGCTCCCCTCTTAGATCTGAGCGTCCCGATCAGCAACTCTGTATGTAGGCCCAGGATGGCGGAATCTACAGGACTCTCCAGCTCTGCATGAACCCCTCAGAAAGAAATAACAGTCTACTGTCTTTGAAGGACACAATCTCTTTGGATTAGTGCAACACACGGTAATTCTACACCGGTTTCTCGGAAGATCACTTCTAGCATGCTTCTGACAATCTTCCAATCCAGATTATCTAGTGCATGGCCTATCTTGGGTAAAGCCAAAGTTCTTAATGTCGTAATTGCAGACGATTTTCTTCAAATTAGTTAGAGCCCACCATATATCCTCGTAGGTTGCCCTGTCTGTATACGACTTCCTGGTCACCATATACAGCAAAGATCGAGAACCATCTTCTAATCTCAGCACTCTTCCAACTTTAGGCTGCTGGTTTTTTAACTCGTCCAAGCGACCAAATTTCTTATAAAATACGGATGAGATTCCTTTAGTCATCTCAAGATCTTGGGCAACACAGTGGGCTAGAGAGACGTTATGCGGAACACTAAAAAGATCCTGCTGAACTTCTGTCGTCACGCCGAATCTAGCACTCTTTCTCTCTGCGTAATTTGACATAAACTCATTAAAGCTTGGTCGCCGTTTATCTTTGATCTCATGTTGAAGGGTTCGGACTTCTTCGGTTTCATTTGAGCCAGCATAAGGTGCAAGACGATTTATGTGAACTACTTTTGGTTTACCTTTCGGCAACTTCTTAATTCGGTATATTACGTCATTTATTCTCTTTTTAATTTCATACGGACCCTCCCATTGTCTTTGCAGTTTAGGAGACAAGCCACGACGACGTTGTGGATTATAAAGCCAAACAAGATCACCTACTTCATAGCTTTCATTCTTGCATCGAGAATCGTATTGATCTTTCATTCTGTCACTGGCTAACTGGATGTGTTGTCGGGCAAGTTCATGAATGCTGTTCATTCTTAACTTCAGGCGATCGACATAATCTTCGCTTGCAACATGTTCTTCGGAAGGTCTGCAGCCAAACTCTAGGTCGCAGGGCAAACGAACTTCACGACCTAACATCAGGCAGGTTGGAGTCTGGCCTGTAGTTTCATTCACGGCCGAGCGGTATGCCATTAAGAATAAATGAATGTGCTGATCCCAATCTCTTTGATGTTTTGATACAACTTTGGACAGGTGTACCATCGTTCGGTTCATCCTCTCGACCATTCCATCTGATTGAGGATGTAGGGGTGTCGTTCTGGTCTTACTGACACCAATCAATTTACAAACGTTTTGGAAAAGGTTTGACTCGAAGTTTCGCCCTTGGTCGGAGTGGATCTCCAAGGGAACACCAAATCGGCTAAAGAATTCTTTAACCAGTACCTCTGCAACGGTAGCAGCTTCTTGATTTGGTAGCGCATAGGCCTCAGTCCATTTCGTAAAATAATCCATGGCTACTAGGATATATTTATTTCCATCATTTGTCTCTGGAAGTGGACTCGATGTTTCTCGAAACATCGAGTCGCTTTCGAGATGCAGCCGCTATACGGAGACACGCTACGTGTTCGTAACAGTATGTTCTAGATATGGGCTGCCATACAGCTATGACAAAATTTTTTTTTGGTTTGTGCTATTTATGGCACATAATGTGATATAGGGTTAAAATACTTGGTTCTTATGTTTCTACAAAATAGGCTTTCCGAATACTTATATCATAAGTCTTATGTCATGGAAATATTACGTGTTTTGGCATGGATTTCAGTATTCATTTATCGATTTTTTAGAGTGTAATTAATAAGATAAGTGTGTTTTCTGATTTTAGATCTCCGTATCTTCAATAATGTAATATTTTCTTGGATATGTTCTATAATTTCACTGTCACACTAGATATCAGTTGTTACCGTGTACAATGATGTTTAGCCGTTTTGCATTTATGCATTTGTTAGTCGTAGAAGAAATTAGAACAATAACAACTTTGCAAAAATATTTTATAAATCATACCGATAATTTGTAATGACTTTTAATAAAGGTTTACCGTATGCATATTATTAAATATTATTTAAAAACTCTTGTTTCTTCTTCTTCTTCCTTTGCCCCATCCGTTTCGGACGTTGGCTATTAACAAGGGTATTTTGACTTTGTTTACGGCACCTCTGAACAGTTCGGTCGATGTTAGTCCGAACCATTGTCGCAGGTTATGCAACCATGAGTGTCGTCTTCTTCCCGATCCCCTCCTACTGTCGATTCTTCCTTGGACTATTAACTGTAGCAGCCGGTACTTAGTATGCCTCATGACATGTCCGAAGTACTCAAGCTTCCGTTTCTTTACGGTGAAGATTATTTCTTTGCTTTTGCCTATTCTCTGCATTACTTCCACGTTAGTGATGTGGTCTGTCCAGGATATCCGAAGAATACGGCGATATATCCACAGCTCAAAGGATTCTAGTTTCTTCAGGGTGGCTTCCGTTGTGGTCCATGCCTCTGCTCCATAGAACAAGACCGGGAAGACATAACACTTGACCAGTCTTAATTTTAGTTCCATTGAGATTTTGCTTGTGAACCACTTTTTCATATTGTTGAACGCGTTTCGCGCTTTTTCAATTCGTGATCTTATTTCTGTTGACTGGTCCCATTTTGTGTTGACTGTGGTTCCAAGGTATGTGTATGTCTCCACTTGTTCTATTTTTCGGTTGTTTAATGTCAATTGCATCGGAGGTTGTTGTGTTCTGCTGATGAGCATGCATTTAGTTTTGGTTGTATTGAGTTCTAAACCATATTCTTGACTTGCTGTGTGAAGCTCGTTGCAGTCATTTGCGATAATAACTGTGTCGTCAGCATATCTAATATTATTGATTACCTCTCCGTTTACTTTGATACCCTTCGAAACTTCTCCCAGTGCTTCTCTGAAGATTTGTTCAGAGTATATATTGAACAGGAGCGGCGAGAGGACGCATCCCTGTCGTACACCCTTTTTAATATCTATCTTCCCACTGTGTAAGTTGCCCATCTTTATCTCAGCACTTTGGTTCCAATAGAGACTGGTTATTATGCGCAGATCCTTGCCATCAATATGCATCTTCCTGAGCATTTCCATGAGTTTATCATGTTTGACCTTGTCAAACGCCTTGGAGAAGTCGATGAAGCACAAGTGGACGTCCTTGTGCATGTCTCTGCATCTTTGAATTAAAACTTGCAGACTGAAGATCGCCTCTCTTGTGCCCAATGCGCTTCGGAATCCGAACTGTGACTCCGATATATTTGCTTCGCATTTGTTATATATTCTATTGTGTATGATTTTGGTGAAAACTTTGGTAATATGATTTATCAAGCTTATTAAACGGTGTTGATCACAGTGTTTTGCACTTGGTGTTTTAGGTATGGCTACAAAGGTCGATCGAAGCCATTCCTCCGGAATCTCCCCTTTGTCGTAAAAGGTGTTAAAAAGGCCTGTCAGAAAATCGAGGAAGTGGTCATCCGTTTCGCATAGGAGTTTTATGATCTCGCCCTGTATGTTGTCGGGACCTGGTGTTTTGTCGTTTTTTAGCGATGAAATGGCTTTTTCCACTTCAGACCTTAGTATTTCGGGTCCAATCATGTCGTCATCTTGGTCCACTGTCGCTCTGCGTTTATCGTTAAAAAGTCGTTCTACTTAATCTTTCCATGTGTCAATGAGCTTCAAGTCGTCTGATATAAGGTTACCGTCTGCGTCTATTAGTGTCGGGTGGGGATTATTGGTTTTCTTTTTAGTTGTTAATTCTTTGATCTTTTTGTGCATGTTGTGGTAGTCATATCTTCTGTCGCACTCTTCGATTTCATCGCATTTCTCCTTCAGCCAGCGTTCCTTCGCTGCCTTTATCTTTGTTTTTATATTGTGACTTGTTTCTTGATACTTCACTTGATTTTTGCATTTGTGTTGTCTTCTTTCTTCCATCATATTAAGGATTTCATCCGTCATCCATCCTTTCTTCTTTACGCGCTCCTGTAACAGAAGTGTCTTGTTTGTCATTTCAACAGCTCTTTTTATTTCTTCCCATTTAGCAACTGCGTCTTGTGCGGGTTCACTCAAGTTTCCAATGTTTCTTCTTAAGGATTCCTGTACTTGTTGTTTAATGTTGGGATCCTTTAATTTCCTAATGTTTATCTTGGTTTTGTTAGGCTTCCCTTCTATAGGTTTTATGCATATTATTAAATATTATTTGAAAACTCTTGTTTGGAAACAATATTTAACGATTTAATGATACTACATTCTTTTTCAATAATTAATAACTAAGAACCTCTCTTTTTTTCAGATCAAATGCCCAGAATGCCGCGCAGAACACAGAATACCATACAATGGAGTCCAAGGATTTCCAACAAACGTAACCCTTCAACGCTTTTTGGAACTGCACATAGAAATAACTGGAGAACTGCCCGATCCAACCAGTGGACAGATAATGGAAAGATGCAACGTCTGTTCAGAAAAAGCATACTGCAGCTTCTGTTCTCACTGCGACAAAAAAATATGTGAAGAGTGTAAATCAGCACATATGGAAATATTAAGACGAGAAATTTCTAGGATAAATAATCAAATCAGAAGGGGCATTCACAGGTTGCAGGATACTCTAGCTTTAGTAGAAAAGAACTCACAAAATATGCAAACGAACTGTTTATCAGTTGGTGAGGAAGTTGAAGAAATATATAGAAGACTTAGCAAAGCTTTAAAAGACCGTACTGACTACTTAAGAGGAGAATTAGACAGATATCTTGGTACAGAAGTAAGAAGTCTTACTACGCTAAAAGAAAATTTAGAGCTAGAAATATCGAATATTTTAAGTAATTGCGATCTAGCTGATAAACATATGAACGAAAACGTAGATATCTGGGATGATTGCGAGCTTATGGATGCCAAAGAAATATTTTTGAAGACTGTAGAGTTTATTCGTAATTTTGAATATGAAAACGCTGACTACAGTCGAAAAGTAAGGTTAGTTTTAGCACATGATCCCAATCAATTGGTACTCCATGTTGCTGGTTTTGGTGATCTTAATTTACCAAGTCAGTCACACTTTGGTCAACAGTCTGGATTGTTGCAGCCTCCAAATTCTGGATTGATGAGGTCTAAGAGCGACCATCGATTAGCCTCACAATTTAGACAACAAGAAGAAAGAGGATATGGGGATCGAGGCTATAATGATGAAGATCAAGTTATAGGAGGAAGGAAATTTGGGGAAAGACCAAAAAGTACTGGAGAAAGTCGTTATGGTCGTGGAGGTGATTATGGGGATGACTATGATCATGACACTAGACCAACACGATCCAAATATAGTAGGTTTAGAAGACATCAAGCAACAGAAAATGATTCAGATACCGAACCAACCACTAGAGTGAGATTTAATGAGCAAAAGGAACGAGAAAGGGCATTTGATACAGAAGATGCATCTAGAGGCCCTCTAAGTGGAATAACTAGGCTTGCAGACTCACCCAGGGTGATGAAAAAAATGCAGGAACATGAAAGTGGCAAAACCAAGAAAAAGGAAGAGCCTACTCCTGCCCCTGTCCAACCCAAAGTTGTGCCAAAAAGGCCTCCTCCACCAGCCGTAAGGCAAGTTAGTGAAGAAGACGAAATATCTAGAATTAAGAAACAAAACAAAGGGGCTACTACGTCAACGGATACAACGACAGAGACAGTGAGACCTGCTACTGAAGAAAGACAGAGGAAAACACCAGCCCCTGAGGTGAGTCTAGATGAACTTGAACAGTAGCCTCTTTATAAGCACTCAAGTACCTGATTAAACAATTTTTAGAATAGAGCTCTTAAATATTAGATAAATATTAAATGTTGTGTTGCTTGTACATTCTGTAAAAATTAACTTGAAAAGTATAGATGACTATTGATTACCCCGATTACACACTGGCATGTTTCTACTACTTCTTCTTCAAATCTTTTTTGTGTTGTGTGTAAAGCATGAAGAATGTTTGAAAAAAAAAACTACACAAATCCTAACACCCTATTTTCTCCAGGCTGTCTCCAGCGCCGAAGAAAGTGAGGAATCTGTAAATTCTCGTCAACAGAGTCAAAAAAAGACACCCCCTAAAAGTGCCACCGCAGCATCTCCAAGGCGACCATCTGACGCAAGCCACAAAAAAACCGCAAGGTCAGCTAGCTCTGAATCTCACACGTCTTCCGAATCCTCGACGTCTTCAAGCGCAGTTCGATCTACTGGAGCACCTTTCACCACAGACGAGGTTAAGAAAAAAATTCTTTCTAAAGTAGAACCAACTACACCAAGTAAAAAGGTTTCTTCGCCTGTCCAAAATAAACCTTTCCAAAGTCGATTCTTGCAAAACAAAACTACAACAGCTCCACCTAAGGAAGAAGAAGATGAAACGGAAACTAGCTCTGAAGAAGAAACTGAATCTGAAGAAGAATCTGATGAGGAAACACAGAAAACTGATACTAAGGAAATTGCAAAATCTGATATAGGTCCTCTTTTAGCTAGAAGTGCTAACGCGAGAGATAATAGTGTCGAAAGCGTTCGCAGAAAAAGTAGAGATGAAGCTGAATCTCCAGTAAGGACGAGATATGGGACTACGAGAGATGAACCGTCCAAATATTCTAGAAGTAGGACATCGACTGTAACGGAAGAAGAACCACCTAAGTATGGTTACACAAGTCGATTTTTAAGCAAAAGCAAAAGTTCCGCAGCTCTGCCTCCAGAAGATGAAGACCATAGTTCGAGGTAAGACTCTTCTGCTGTAAACCTAGTAGAAAACTATAAATGTGCACCTATCGCATGGAATTACTTCATACATATGCTTTGATAAATCTGAATTTGATATATATACTTACGTTGCTATCAGCTGGCTGTTTTCTGCAAACTTCTGCACCTAGTACCTATATTTCTTAATTATGCTTGATATGCTTTTATTTTGTTACACTGCATGCAACGTTCATAATATTCAGTTTTTTACATTAATATTAAAATGATATCATACTACACCACATACATACACAATCATAATTATATTCAATTGGAATTGCAACTGCTAATAGAATGTACCTTTAATGTATGCCTATACTGTTATTAATTTTAACAGCTGGTATGCCCAACTAGTTTAATAGCTGATAACTCCGATCCCTCAAAATTTATTTCTCTAATCTTTAGGATGTTTATCTTATTACATATGTGACGTTTCTTCCATCTGCAAGGATTAACGTTAGGTTTACTGTATTAAAGTAATTATTTCTTACATGCTACACCAAAGTGCGTAGGCGACTATCTCATTACTAGAATTCTGTTCTTGGCGGCGTGACACAGCTCACCTGTATTGTGTATTCCTGTCCATTCTTTAATATTCCTTAACCAGGACAATTGTTTGCGGCCGGCTCCTCTCCTACCTTCGATCTTCCCTTGTAGGATTAACTGTGGTATTTCATATTTTGCTCCTCTCAATATGTGCCCAAGGTAACCAATCTTGCGTTTTTTAATTAATTCAAAGAGTTCTCTTTCCACGCCGGCTCTATTAAGGACGTCATCGTTTCGAACTCTATCCACCCAAGGTATGCGCATCATTCTTCTCAATGACCACATTTCAAATGCTTCGAGTTTGTTGATAGATGTTTTTTTCAAAGTCCACGTTTCCATGCCATAAAGCAAGATGGACCATATGTAGCACTTGACCATTCTGTAGCGTATTTCGAAGTTTAGGTGTTGATTACATAGGAGCGGTCTGAATTTCACAAAAGCTTGTCTTGCCATTTGTATTCGGGTTTTTATCTCGTGTTGTGGATCCGATTGGTCATTGATTGTGGTGCCAAGGTATTTAAAAGTTTTCACGCGATTTATACGATTGTCACCTATGCATAATATCGGGTTTTCTGGAGGGTTTCTGCTAATGACCATATATTTCGTTTTCAAAATGTTGATTTTGAGGCCATATTTTTTACCTATGCTATTCACCCTATCAAGTAATAACTGCTGATCTTCCAAATTATCAGTTATAATCACTGTGTCGTCCGCATAGCGTAGGTTGCTAATTGGTATGCCGTTCACCTTAATGCCTAATTCCGTATTAATGCTTCCGCAAATATATTTCAACATAAAATTAAGCATTTATTAGCAAGCATTATTCCTTCAACTGCATATTGATTTTAATATAAAGTCATTGTCGACCGGAGACTCACTTGTATTTTTGCATCGACTGCTGGCTGGAGGACCAGAATTGGCCTGTGCTCCACAAGTGCTTCATTTTGTTCATAAAGACGGGCTAATGTCATCTTCACATTCCTATGTTTGCTTTCTGGAAGATACACTAGTACATGTTTATATTTACAAAGCTGTTTAGATTTAACATAGTTTTACTTTATTTTACTACATTTTTTATTAAGAAATTTATTTTTGATATCAAAGGAGTCTACTTCAGTACAGATCAACTCAAAGTATGCATCCATGACTTCTCTTCATGTTTAACTAAGGCATATTTTATATGACCTGTTTGATTCTCAGACACCATTTTGTTGGGTAAGTTCTTGGGAATCACTTTTGTTTGTCTAGTAGTATCACACTGTTCGCCAGCTTTTTTTGAGTACCAACTAAGCATTGCCGATATACCTCATGTCTTTTGGTGTTTTCTGTAGAAGTACCCAAATGTTCCTCTAAAGTTTGTTTCTATCCCGATATTATGAAGACTGGTAACTTTTATGAGGCTTATAGGCATGATAGGCATAGTTACTGTGAACTCTGTGAATCTTTATTTTTCATACTCTATTTATTTTGACATATTTTGACATAAAACTATTTTTTCTATAATGACTTTTTCTTATAAATAAATTTCTTATAAATTAAAATTTTAATTCCTGGGCCTGTTAACATTTGAAACGCACGTGCTTCATTGAATATGAACCTATAACACTGATCAGTACACTTCAACTTTTTTCTTTTATAGTAGGTACAATTCTACTGCAGATGACGTTGATAGTAAGTACCCAGCAAGCGGTCGTTCCCGCTATATGGCTTTGAAAGAACGAAGGCAACGATTAGCTAGAAGTAGAAGCAGCCAACAATTTGGAGACGATGAAGATATAGACGAACCAGTTTCACCAACAACTTCCAATCCTTCAGCTTATCTTGCAGCAAAGGGGTATGGCTCTTCATCATCAGCTCATGACCTTGCAAGAAGCCGGTAGGTTTAAACGCTGTTTATTGAATAGCCTTGGCTTGAGCTTTTAATTAATAGTATCTGAATTAGAATTCAAACTGACGTGCTTACCTTATAATCTAATTTTCAATATTTTGATAAATAAAAATGAATGCTCATATTTATTTCTTACATCAAATTAACAGAAATTTGTATAACACTAAAAATAAGTAAACGAACACACCAATACATCATTTAACATTTTTTCTTTCTTAGTAAATATTAGATGCAGTTGCAAAAATTTATTGAATGGAGCTACAATTTCAACTATTTTTTGAGTTGTTCAACAATGATATCTTTTTACTAATACATTATTTTCCGGGTTTATAGGCTGTGGTCTGGAAATATTTTTTCTTAACGTCCCATCTGCAATTGCGGTAAATATTATTAGGGATGAAAGGTCATAACTATTGTCGACTCAGTAATGAAAGAGTGCAGTCCTAGATAATCTCTTTGTTTTTATCACGCAATATTTTCCTACAAACTTTGGCATTTTTTTTAAATTGATCTTCTTCTTCTTAGGGTGCCTGTCCGTTCCGAACGTTGGCGATCATTCTGGCTATGATGATTTTGTTGGTTGCTATACGAAATAGCTGTGTTGAGGTATTTCTATACCATGCTCTCAGGTTAGCAAGCCAGGATATTCTTCTTCGTCCTGGGGCTCTTTTTCCTTCAATTTTACCCTGCAAAATGCATTAGAGTATCTCGTATCTGCCTTGATTTCTCATTATATGTCCCAAGTACTCCAGCTTACGGCTCTTCACAATGTTGACCAAATCCGCGGTTGTGTTCATCCTCCGCAGTACTTCTTCATTGGTGACTTTGTCTGTCCATGGTATCTTCAGTATTCTTCTGTATAACCATAATTCAAATGCCTGAAGTTTTGATAGAGTTTCCGCCTTCAATGTCCACGTTTCTACTCCATACAGAAGCACTGAGTACACGTAACATTTAAGGAGCCTTATTTTTGTTTTCAGGGTGAGGTCATGGCTTTTGAACACAGAGCTCATAGTCAAGAATGCACTTTTGGCCTTTCCGATGCGACATTTAATCTCTTGGGTATTGTCCCACGACTCATTGATTATAGTTCCCAAGTAATTGTATTGTGAGACACGTTCAATTCTCATTTGGTTTACATACAGATTTGCTCCAGTTATGTTTTGCTTGCTGATGATCATTAGCTGTTATTACTATATCCAGTCCATATGTTCTACTTGTTTCTTTCTATATGTAACTTTCTGGTATGAACATGTTGAGTTTTATCTTTCATTGAAAGATCCTTCATTGAACCCCGAGCCTTAGCTCTCACCATATTATTCATTTATCAGTCGACTTGATTACATTCGTCATATCTTATAAGTCATACATCGATTTACACTGCTAGGGTTGAATCCCTGAAATAGGCTAGAACCGCGAATATCTTGATTAACACAATTAGAACTATTCTCGTCAGTCTACTAATCTATCAAGTTGAGATTATATTTATTTATATGATATATCTTTCTAATATGTTTCCTTTACTCAATATCTGGTTAATACATTTTGTTATAACTCTCATTGCTGGGGAGATCGCTTGTTGACGAACTGTTTTATTTGTTACCGGATCTTGGCCTTTGACCACAGTGATCATTACATCATTGTATCTTTTGTTTAAACAAAAGATACAATGTTAAAATAAAAAAACAACGCGGATAGATGCCTTCAAACTAAGAACAAATGGATAATTACCATTAATTATCATTAATTACAAAATGGATAATTACCAACCGGTTCAGCACGCTGGCTTCGGTAAAGGATATAGTATATCAGACCATCTGCTGACAATGAGAACATTGATAGAGAAGCTAAATGCATACTAACTATCCGTAATTATTGCTTTCGTAGATTATGAAAAGGCATTTAATAGTATCGTGGTGTGGGCCATGGACGTATAAATAAAGACTTTATCTTTATTTATACGTCCATGTGTGGGCCGTAAAATAAGCTACTAATAATTGTAGAATAGATTCGAGATATAGGCAACTAATACTTAATATATATGAAAAAGCAAGTATGATAGTACAACTAGATGAAAATAGAAATCCTATCCTCATTAAAAGAGCAACTAGACAAGGCGAAGAAATATTACCAAAGCTTTTAAATCTAGTCCTAAAAAAAGTCTTCAAAACTACAAATTGGTCAATATATGGCATCAACGTTAATGACAACAAGTTAAAGGACCTCAGATTCGCCGACGACATCGTGATTATAGCAAACAGATTCGAGGAACTACAAATTTTGATGGAGAAACTCGCATACAGCTCCCAATAGATCGGCCTAAAAATGAATATGACAAAAACAAAAACAATAACAAGCACAGACGACCCAAGACTTATAACTATAAATGGCAGTCAAATAGAACAAGTTTATAAATATATCTACCTAGGCCAAATTCTGAAACTTGACAAAGAGAACCAAAGTGAGGAAATCTGTAGAAGACTGACTGTGCAGGATTTGAAAACTCAGCTGGATACTTAAAAACTGCAACAACACCTCAATATTTGAGGAGCAAAGTGTTGCAAATCAGTGCATCCTTCCTAAATATGGATGTTAAACCTGAACACTAACAACGCAAATATAAATAAACTAACCTTAACTTAGGAGCAAATATCAATAGTCAGTGTAATCCAAAAAAAGAAATTATCAAGAATCGAACAAGCAAGGAAAACATTCATGAGCATGAAAACATTTTTTACAAGATCAGACCTTAGTCTGCAGCTTAGAATCCGAATGATTAGATATTACGTTTTTTCTGTCTTGCCGTATGGCTGTGAAAGTTGGATAATGGACTCTGAAATAGAAAAAAGAATATATATATATATATATATATATATATATATATATATATATATAAGATGGTGGTATTCTTGACTGTTGATTTAAATATAAGTTATGATTTTTGAGGATGCAGTCAGTTTATTTGGCCCACAAGACAAAGAAAACTCTTTGACTTACTGTCAAGCTTTCGAATTTTATTTAATTCTTTTTCAAGACATCTATAAAAAGAAATATAAATTAACTAGTTAAAATTGTTAATTGTCTTACTTACTAGTCGTGAGATTACAGTTGTTAATATATTGTACTCTACAAAACAAAGCATTATAAATATATAAAATTTTTTATATTTATAATGCTTTGTTTTGTAGAGTACAATAATATAACAACTGTAATCTCACGACTAGTAAGTAAGACAATTAACAATTTTAACTAGTTAATTTATATTTCTTTTTATAGATGTCTTGAAAAAGAATTAAATAAAATTCGAAAGCTTGACAGTAAGTCAAAGAGTTTTCTTTGTCTTGTGGGCCAAATAAACTGACTGCATCCTCAAAAATCATAACTTATATATATATATATATATATATATATATATATATATATATATATATAATATATATATATATATATAATATATATATATATATATATATCTATACATCGCAAAGGCATCTATTCTTTTTTCTATTTCAGAGTCCATTGGTATGTAGTGAGTGGTATGTGTTGTATAATTGTCTTCATCTCGTACGAGTACTGATCTACGAAGATGGAAATTCGTTTTTTTTTTTAAATAAAAATTTTTATCTCTGGCCAAATTCGAAATCACGATATTGTCTTAATATTCTGTAAGTTGATTACCGTACCACTGCGTCAGTGCAAAGTATATATTCTCTTACGAATCCTACTGGATCCCATTTAGCGATTATTAAAAATTAAACAATGCAATTAATGTAAAATTAATGTAACTAATGCAGAAGCTAACAGCCCACTACATATCTGTAGGCTTTAGATTTTTAAAGCTATAATTATAGGTACGACTACTTGTGGATTTTATTTGCAATATTGTTGTTATGGTTGAAGTTTGTGGACGTAACAGCTGCTGATAACACCGTAAACCACAACAGATCTCTACTAGTCCGAATGCCTGAAATATATTTTTACAACACAAGGTACCTTATCTTTGGTACTAATATCACACAACAGCATTTACACAACTTACAAGCTCTGCTTATGATTTTAACAATACAAAACAAAAATTACAAAATATATCCATTAGTTGAATACAATTTTACAAATATTTTCAGTTCTTCTCATGCGCTGAAATCAAGAGACAATTCTCCAGATCGTTCGACAGCATCGGCTGCAGAAAAAGATGGAGCAGCGTTAAGTTCTTGGGCGAGATATCTCAAGAGCAAATACGGAAATAGAAGCGGAACGAAAGACAAAGACGTTTCATCGAGTGCGAGTACTCCTTCAGCGAGTAGTTCAGGAGCGGCAAGAAGATTGTCTTTGGGATTGCCTTTAAGATCTTCAACAGAGTTAGCAAGTTCTGATGATGATTCAAAAAACATGCAAGGCTCCCCCACTACCCCTACAGCAGCTATAGCAGTGGCAGGTATGTCTTAAATAATTTATATTCAATATTCAGTTTTGAAAGCATCTTGAGCTACTAACTTTCGGCCTTCTTAGTTTAACACACTTTACTACTATTTTGAAATTTCCATAAACTATAGGTAATATACTCGTACAAGAGGTATAAAATTACTTAAATTATGCGATTATTAGGCGAAATTTACGCAAAATCTTAGTAAAAATGTATCTTGGTAATAGAAAACATAAAAAAAGATTTTAATGCATTGGAATTACCGTAACCAATTAGCACTTGTGTGAAACCACATATCTTTTCTAAAACAAAATTTTGTATTATGGGCTTGTGTTCATCTCCACAGTATGATGGAGATATGTAATTAATATGTTCTCCAATTGGCCCAAAGCCCAAAACACCCGCTCTAATGAAAATGCATTTCAAGAATAAACCTTGTAACAAAGGTTTTAACACAAAATGGTTATCCATTGTCATTTATAAATAAGGAATTTCATGAGAGAAGAAAGGAAACAACGAAACACTATAAGCAATTCGGGAAGAACTAAAAAGAAGGAATTTGAAAATGACCACAAAACAATATATAAAGGGCTTAGTATAAAAATTAAAAAGGACAGGAAATAAGTACAATATCACAACATTCAAAGCAACCAATCACAGATCTATTCTATCTAAAACCAAACCTAACAACACACAAGGGAGATCCAAGAACTGCATCTATAAAATACCCTGTGAATGCAACAATTTTTATGTAGGAGAAACCGCAAGACCACTGTGGTCCAGTGTCAGGATAAACGAGCATAAAACATGCATTAAAAACCGAGACTTTGATAAATCACAGATGTGCAAACATGCCTGGGACAATGAACACAGAGTACAATGGAAGATGCATCAATAGTCATCAAAGAAACGGATATGAAAAAGAGAAAAATGAAAGAAGCAGCTCCAATATTACTTAATGAAGAAAAATGTGTAGGAAATCCATCAAGCAGTGTCTGATTACCAATACTAAATGAAGAAGTCTGCAATAACGATTAGTCAGCATTAGCGGATTAATAGAAAATCGGAGACATAGGGTAGGTGTGGGTAAAAGTCCGCACTTTATATATATATATATATATATATATATATATATATATATATATATATATATATATATTATTATGATTTTGTATTTTTGATTTTAATTTATTTACTTGAAACAATCACAAAAATATACTTTCTCGTTATCAATGTCCTAAAAAATAAACTTCTGATATTTCTTATGTTCAGTGAGTTCAAAGTTTTCTAGTTGTATTTATCGGGATAGGAAAAACAAAGGATAATAATAAAAAGTATAATACATAAAATACAGATATTTTTTATTTTATAAAAAAAAACAATTATTAAATTTGCCGTTATCTTTTCAATCAGCGAATATGCATGTAATGAAATTAATACAAAAAGAAAATTTTAATTCTTATTTTCTTCTTGAGACAAAACAATTTGAAACTAATTTAAATTTGGATACCTTTATAAACTTTTATCTTCCTTATATTTAAAAAATCTATTTTATTATGGAAACAAAACTTTAAAACATTTGATAAACGTAAAAAGGTCTAATCATGCTTTAAACTGGTAACAACAATGAGGTAAACAAATCGCATTTAAGATTTACACACCTTTCAACTTGAAAAAGGAAAATATCTGACCTTTCTTCCCTGGATTGTTTTAGGACCACACAAAGAATTGTCCACCTTCCACAGCAATGTGTTCTTCCACCTTGCGCCTCGGCTTCTTGTTTCAGTATCTGCTCCTTCAGCCAATTTAACTGACTTAATTTAACCTCCTGACTCAATTCTCCAACACTTAACACACGAAAATCACTTCTTCAAACATTCATATAACTTCTTCGTGACCCAAGGATCTCTTTTCTCACCTGGTGCCACAACTATTTAACACGTATTCCAGAAACTGCACACTTTAGATTCAAGGATTTCTTTACATCGACTTGCAATCTACTTCTTCCACAATTCTGCTAACAAGACTGGTAACTTTATCCACTTAACAATGCCGGCCTCCAACTCACGAACACACCGCCTGTCGAGACGCAACCTTTCTTTTCGATCACTCAAACATCACTGTCTTCTCGAACCAACAAAAACTCTATCAACCCTCGGTCTGTCGATTTCCCCTTCCAAAAAGATCGTCTCATCACAAAATCCAAATTTGTTTACCACACTTGTTGGAATGCTAATTACCGTTTTCAAGCAAGGAACTTTAATCTTTTAACAATGGTCATTTCCTTGTAAACAAATAATTTTTATACATTTCAAAGATTTTTGCCTTAGTCATAATAGAAGATTTATACAACACAATACCGGACTAATCCTTCAGGTAACAGCTTATTTTCTATAATGTACAAATGGTTTGTCAATAACTCGTTTAGAATGGCTTAGTTCTTTATAAGTCATAAAATTTCGGTACTAATCTATCTATTTACAAATATACAAACTTTCTATCTTAAAATTAATACATATTTTGTCTTCAGATTTCTTAAAAACTTACTTCCGATGGATTCCTTAATTATTTTTGTTCCTTCCGCGTTTGTGGAAGAAGAAGTATAATAAATCCCCGCCTTTGCATATGATAAAAATTACTGAATTATGTAGGGATTTTTCTCTTATGCAAACATTCTTTGTCTCTTATTCATAAATCTCTTCCCTAAAAACCACTGTTTCAATTATGTCGTTTTCATCTTCCTTTGTTGATATTCTTTCTTCTTCTTCTTCTTCGGGGCTCATCTCTTCTTTTGAGGAATCCCCGGTATTGACTTCCTTTATCCTTTTCTTAAGTCTTTTCCTTTTTCTTCTTTGTCCTTGCTTCGTTGCCAGATTCATTTCCACTGTTTGTTCTTTCTCCGAAATATCAATTTTCTGTTTCCCATGTTCGTTTTCCTGTTCTCCTTCCTTTTCTTCAGTCAGTTTCATCGTGTTATTTTTGAAATCTATTACTACATGTTTTTCTGCCAGTTCGTCCACTCCTACAATCATGTCATGCGACATGTTTGGCATTATTACACATTGTAATGCATACATTTTTTTATCCAGTCGTACCATCACTCGTATGCCTTCATTTATCGTTGCCAAAATCCGTTTATTCGCACCCACCAAATTTACCCTTGGTATTTTGTATATTAAATTTGTCAACTGTACTTCTTCTATTAATTTTCTGTTTATTAAGGTTATTTCTGACCCGGTGTCTATCAAAATCTTTATTGGTCTATTGTTAATGAAACCATCTACAAATTTTAAATTAACTCCTCTTCTTTCCTCATTATTTCCTGCCAATTTAATGAATTCCTTCGGGTGACAAAAAATTCCTGCCTGGTTTTTTGTTTTTAGTGGGTGCTTTCGTGAAAAACCGACTGTTGTTCTTCCGTATTTCTTCTCTCATCTCTATTTCTTTCATCCTCATTTTCTTCTATTTGTGTATGATTTACCTCTCTTCTATTTTCTTTTGGTCTGTCATATCCGTTTCGGTTTCCACGATATTCCTGTTCATTTCGTCTATTGTAATTTCTGTTTTCTGGATATGTGCGGGTGTTATTTCTGTTTTGATTTTCTCGATATCTGTCTTCATTCCATGGCCGATTTCTGAAATCATCATTTCCTCTTCTATTTTCCCGATTCTCGTTTTCCCTCCTGGGAATAAATTCTCGTCTAGTGTAATCCCTCCTAAAATTTTGTCCTCTCTCTCTGTATTCCTGAGTTTCTCGATGTCTATAATTCTCTTGTGACCTTCTTGCTCTTCTTTCCTGTATCCGTGATGCCCTTATTTGTAGGAATTGGCATAAACTATCGATATCTTTGTAGTTTTGTAAATTTATGTGGTCTTCCATTGTGTCTTCAAAGTGTCTTGCAATCAACTCGACTAATTGCTCAGATGAATAATTGTATTGCAGATGTTTTGCGTTATTGTACATTTGCAATGCGTATGTTTTTTCTGATATACCCATCTTCTCATGGTATTTCCCATTTTGCAATTCCTTATTTATCTGTAATTGCTCTGTCTTTCCCCAGAAAAAACTCAGAAATTTGTTTTCAAATTCTTGCCAATTTTCAAATTCCTCCACTTTGCTGTCAAACCATAGACTTGCCTCATCTTTGAGATGATTTCTGATAACTTCCTTAGCTGTCTCAAAATTTCCCATGTATTGTATCTTCTTCTTTAGATTATTCATGAACGGTACGGGGTGTAGTTTTCTTACATCCCCGCCAAACTGTATTTTTATTTCGCCGGAATTCTGGATAACTATTTCTCTTGTTTCTCCGACTCTATTTTGGTGTCTTATTTCCTTAATTAAATTTTCATTCCGTTTCAATCTTATTTCTATTTCTTCCTTATCTTCTTGCAGAGCGTTTTCAAACTTTGTTTCTAACTCTTCTAATTCCTTTTCCATTTTGTTTTTCATTTTTTTAATTTCCACCTCTTGTTCTGCCATTTCTTTTTTAACATTCTCTAAGCAACTTTTAACTTCTTTTATCACTTGTTGTGTTTCCTGTCGGTTTTTTTCTATTGCTTGTTTCGTTTCACGTTGATTTTCTTCCATTCTCTTGTGAGTTTCTCTTTGATTCTGTTCCATTGTTTTATCCACTTTATCCATTTTTTGCATCATTATTTGTAACATTTTCTCTATTCCTGACAATTCCTGTTGTTCTGATGCCATGATTGTTGTTTCAAAAATGTCTTCTTGTTCTATATGTTCTTCTTGTTTTTTGTTTTCTTTGCTTTTGCTTCTCGTGATCGACATGTAGTTCAAATTTATCCCCGCCTGATATGAAACTCTTAAATTTGTGCAATAATATCCCCGCCAAATATGAAATTCGAGTAATGTTGCAAAGACGAAAAAATTTTTCTCTTATCCCAAATGCAATAAATTTAAATAAATGCAATAAAATTTAAAACTTTTGTCAATTGTAAAAATCAATCAAATATAATAAAATATATCATGCAAAACTTGTACCTAGAGA